CTTATTCTCCTACGAGTAGGAAAAGATGTGTTGAGAAAACTATGGGCATAAGCAGCCGAACCTCAAAAACCTATACAGGGAGACGAGCCCCCTTGAGTAGTGTTGCTAGAAGACGGAAACTAGGGCGAACTCGATTACTCAGCGCATCGTTAAAGAGCTCATGTTGACAGCTGACTGCTCATGTGCCCATTCTGGCTTACTGATTAGCTGGTCTTCTGCTAGGTGGCCAGTCAGATGATTTCATTCCCCCATTCAACAAATTACTCTATTAGTTAGAATATTTCTGTAGACAACTGGATAGGTACCCCATTCGAGTTCTTTCTTATTCCAGGGCTGTCCTCCACTTGAAAGCATGGCAGACATCTTCTCATGATTGAACGCAATCAATTGGGACCAAGAATAAGTGTTCAGCATCAATACGACTCTCTTGGATGCGCCATGCAGTTGTCTGCCACTGGAAATCCAGGTGACGCTTTCATGAAATAGATGATCTCAAGGAATTAGGGAGCCTAAGCAATCGGATGGGATTCGTTAAAGGACATCGTGCAACTGGCAGTAGCGGGGAATACCTCTGCACCAGCTCTGACAACTACACCGTAATTGAGTTTTCTAGAAGTACCGATCGATCATGACCAGTGATTTCCAAAAGCGAAAAAGAAATTAGCAAAAAATCAGCAGAAAGGCCCTGAAAGGAAAAGTCGCTCGGAACAGGGCCTGCTGTGGTCTATCGATATCCCAAGGATGGCTTCGGAGAGGGACGCGGCTAATGTTTCGGAAGTGATCTCATTAAGGAGTCATAAAGATTGCCCCGCCACTCCATGCTCCGCCAGTGGAACGAGATTCCCAAGAAAGAAAGGAAAGCTATTTTGCAGAAGAAAACAGAACTTGAAGTCCTGGTAAGACAGACGGATCGATATGGAGCTATAGAAAGTGAGCCATGAGAATTCCCTAGCAATCTGTGTGAAGTACAAATTCTGTCAGCCATGACAATATCACATAATTAGACGGAAGAGAATGTAGTAACGGCGTAATATCGATTGAAAACTTTTTTCTAGATAATTTTGTTATATTGTAAAGAGAAGCGGCCTTTTCCGGGATTGGAAGAGAAACTCTAAAAAACGTTACTATGTACGGTACAAAAATTCGTGCCATGAAATACCCCAATCGTGGATAGTAATCAATAATCAATCAATAATGGTGCCCTTGATATTCAGGACAACTGAGACTCTGCTTCTCATGCGCAGAAACCTATCAAATATGTGTGAACGTGAGAACTTGATTCAGAATTCTATGAGGAAACCATGGAGCCTAACAATCGACTATATTTTCTCCGAAACACTGAATTTTCAAGTATCGATCGAAGGGCAGAAAATCGATTTTTTGCAGTTTTTTCTCAAAACTTGCCAATCCATTCTGAGATGATCTCATGAAATTACAAAGGAATTAGAAAGTATGAGGGCTCCTATATTAGTATGCCGATTGCCAAGACAACGAGACGAGCAAAAAAAAACAAGTGAGTAAACAAAAATAGTAAGCATCACTTAGGCGCCGTATGGGTGAATGTGAGGTAGCTCCTCTCATGGACCGTTTACGGAACAATTGGCATTTCTGGAAAAGGAAGAGGAAGAAAGTTTCATCACGATGGAATTCATAGCCTTTATTGTCGGGGCAAGTCCCGTGAGATAAGCCATGCAACCGATTTTCATTCGAATCGATGTGAGAATTTAGTGTACCGAATAAGAATGTTGACGTCATATAAGTCATGCGATTCGAGCGCAATAATCAATAATCGTGATAGGAACGCAGAGGAAATTTTCGACTCTGCTTCTCATGCCCAAAAACTTTTCTGACGCGACTGAGCGCGGAAATAGCCAACGTCAAATGAGTTCGGAATCAAGGGATCCCGTCTTGGTAATATCTCCATTACCATCGGACACGACATTCTTTTGAAGTCTCCTTCCCTCTACCCACGTCCACTCGAAAACAGTCGAGAGTGTGACTCAAACGATCGGAGAGGGGCATTACTATCGTCTCGTTATTTCACTGGTTTGAGTGATGAAAGGAAAAGATAACTCGAATCAAAGCAGTTAAAGAAACAACAAGGAAGGTAAAAGAAATGCCATATATTCATGAACGTGAACCGACTCTCGAATGGATAGCCATCTGACCGCTGAGGAAAGAAAAGACGACAATAATTGAAGCACTAGAAAGGAAAACGGAAAAGTAATTTACTTTCGTGCCGCTGTACTGCAATAAGAGCTCTCGGCACATGACAGCTAGAGCAACCTGCAGGCAGCCAGTCATTTTTGGCTTGGCGCTGCTGCAATGCGTCCGACATCCCTCTCTCCACAGCCACAGCCACAGCCACAGCAGCAGCAGCAGGCAGTAGCCGACAGACGCAACGACGACGATGAATAGCCTGGTCGTTTTTTTCCGGAAGACCCATCAACTATCCGACTTCAATGGCAACTTTTAAGTGCAACAGCAATAAATGTCATCAAAATTGCTATTTGAAATAGGGAAATTGTCATTTTGACACTGGCCATATCCTCAGTTAGTTCGTTCATCGGAAAACCTCGAGTAGAGTGGAAGCTACTAGCTAGTGACTTGTGACATGCACGATTCCGGACCTAATGCCCCACAAGATGGTCGATTTCTGAAGTATTACGTTGTCAGAATATTGCGGTCCGATATTTGTGCTTCATCGACTTAAGCTCATATTTTGAGCTAATTCATTTCTTCACTCCAGAATTCCTCCAATTGAAGTCAGGCCAGACATCGGTCAGCTTGTCGCTTAGAAACCTCCTTATGAGGGAGGGGGAGGGGGTTAAGAAGGGGTTATGAGGGGAGAGGAGGGGGGAGGGTGGGAAAATTGGGAACGTTCTGAAATCTCGTTGAAATCGTGTTCGAGAAAACAATCTGCTTGTGCTGTGAACTCAGAAGCCGCAGGACTTGAGAAGCTGATTTTACACCGAAAGGTACAGCAAAGTTTTGCGAGTGAAGGATAGTTTTTCATGTGGAAAATAAACATTACGACTCAGATTTCAGCCGTAAAACGACAGCTTGCAGGACACCCACTTAGAAAACAAGGGAGAAACTCCTGTTCTCACTCTCTCAAGAATAACTATTGAATTATGTCGGGAAACATATCATGAGTTCCTCCATCTTTCCTTGTGAATAACTCAGAAAATTTCAAAATTGAATATATTGCGGTGCTAAGCTCTAGACCCCTGAGGCAGATCTCATAGAGTACGCTGCGTAAGTTGCGGTAGAATAAGCGCATGTTCAGGGCATCGACTCTCGGATCGATACCCGTCAGGACCATCAAGAATTCCATCAAAACCTCTCTGATCATTCAGTGGATACTGGACTGATATGGGAGGATGAGAGCACGCATTGTAAATAGATTGGCTCATACAAATTTTTGTCTAGGTCAAATACTCATTCAACCGCCAACATCGTTCCTTCGAATGGCCTTCGAGTGCATGGCGCAATCCAAAGGTATCTGTTCACAGCGAAATCTCATTCTTAGCTATAATTAGACAAAAAATTGATAAACATGGTTCTTCTCGTCTCAAATGTAACTGCTTCAAAGAATAAAATGTTCCCTAGCTACTCGGTAGGCTAGCAATAACCCTTTTCCGAAGTAACCTCATCCTGGAAAAAGTTTTTTTTTTGTTGAAAAAAATTTCGACGTCATCTAGAAAATCAATATTTTCCGGGTGAATTGATTTCAATGATTACAAATCAAAAGTATATAACGAAGTAATACAAAAGTTCTGGCTGCTAAGGGATGCCGTATCTTAACCTAAACATTGCAGCCTTTGAACTGCCATCTTTGATGTTTGATCAGGCTCCAACCCTCCCGATGGAACACAGACTTTTAATGAGTTTTTTTCATTTTTTTGCAGCTTGCAGGAGAGCTTTTTTTTTTTGCTCAAAGATTAATATTGGTCGTCTTTCTTTCAGTGACAACCGCGTGTCGCTCGTCGTCATCGAAAAATATGGAAAAGCTTAAGAAGCAAGCTAAAACATGAATAGGGATTTCTCGTCAAAATTGAAATTGATCTTAAAAACCACCGAAAATAAAATGGCTGCAAAAAATCTGGAAGCACTAACGAAGAAAGCTGTTCGAGCCTATACTAGGAATTATGTCTTGCGAAAATGGATACGGTTCCAAGTAATGTGAGACTGCGAAAAGATTTATTCATGAGCGAACTTCGAAAAGGCATTTTTAACCCTCCCACACGAAAACTCCCATTGAATGACGGGTGAGTTTGCAGTTACCAAGATCGTTAGCTACTCTGTACAGTAAGAAACGGAAGTAAATAAATAGCAGCTCAGTCGGTGGAGCCAGTTCTTCAAAAAGAAAAAACTGAAGAGAGGAGTTTTTGGATGGACTGTCCCCCACGAAAACTCCCATTGAATGACGGGTGAGTTTGCAGTTACCAAGATCGTTAGCTACTCTGTACAGTAAGAAACGGAAGTAAATAAATAGCACCTCAGTCGGTGGAGCCAGTTCTTCAAAAAGAAAAAACTGAAGAGAGGAGTTTTTGGATGGAATTATGATAGGCTCTATAGAATCCTCATCAAAACTCATCGAGTCATCTGGCGGAATAATGGACGAAGCAGGTGGTGGGATTATGAAAACGATCAAATTCAGATAATCATCGCATCTCTTTTTCCCGCTGCCCGCAGTAATGTGATGAGAAGCTTAGAGAGTACCCGAGTATTGCCGAAAATTGGAATAGGTCCGGCAGCCCGTTTAATTTCTCCATTAGCGAAAGTGGCCTAAGCACATTTAGATTTTAGAATTAAAATTGCCTCCCAGTAAGTAGGAAAGCTTTCTATATGTTTTGTCTGAAAGAATAGATCGCGAAACGGTGCCCACTTACTTTGCCCAAACGAAATTTGAGAAGTTTCGGGTAAAAAAGTAGGCAAGTCACTGCCGCAAGGTTCGATGACCTCATAGGAACTCAGATGAATCGAAAAAAAGTTTATTAAACATTGATGCCAGCCCGGAGAAATGCTGCACACTCCTCGAACACACGGGGGCTGGCGGTCACAGACGGGCCGGCTTTCATTGACGACGACAAAAGCCAACGACGAGGACCGAGATATTCTGGCCAGAGTAATGCGATATGGCGAGAACACCAACGACGATAACGAACTTTCTGGCGACAGCACGACATCACGATTTCCGACGTCACACCGACGGCAACACCGACGGCCACATTGCACTTCGACGTGGACGGGTGCACTGAGAATTCTAACGTCATAGTATCAGAAGATGTACGAGACCTTTCCATGCCCTTTTTCGGAGTAACCTCGACTTTTTCAGTTTTTGATGCCCGGGTCTATAGCGTGATGAGAGAGCTGGTCACCCGTGGAGGCACCAATTAGACATAAACTTGATCCCGTTCACAGAATTCCAGAATAAAAAGAGAGCGGGGAAGGAAACAAGCACTTGCTCATTCATGCACTTCATTGGCATTCTTTGCAGCGCTTCCTATGGGCATCGAGCCATTACCATTCCGTAGCCTATTCACCTCATCAACTTCTGAAAAGTCGTTCGTCTGGAGCGGAAAGTAGATGCAGGAGAGTTATTACCCAATGCAGTACTGGATCATCGTGGGTAATCAATGAATCCCAGCCGGTCCTGACTTGACCGAGCAAATGGGACTGAGAAGGAGATTCATCCCTACGATTTTCCCGCAAGTCAGGGTTAGTTCTGAAAAACGCCCTTCCAATCTTTGACGTAATTGCTTCGGTCTCATCATTTGAGAGTATGAGGGGTGATTTTCAGCAAATGACGCAACCCTGATAGAAGGCGGACCGACGAACGAATTTCACGTCACGGACACGCCCACTATCGAATCCCGCCCCTCTCGCACGACAGATGTAAATAACGTCAATTCCCATTTACCATCAAGCCTTGTAATTGATGTACATATATATGATATAGAGCATGCGATCTCCTTCAAAGTGCACGAACACGATCTAGAAAATTCGAAATCGATACTGTTAAGAAAAAAAACAATGGGGAACTCGTCCGTTTGCTGGATAATCTATTTGAAGTAGGCCACAACCTTCAGTCGAATCATATGGATGATCTTACGTATGTCAGAAACGATCCCTGACTCTTTCAATTCATATTTATATGTTTGCCTTCGAGCCCCTCTTGATCACAAATGATCGATAAATGGACGAGTTTATCGAAGTGCCTCCGGAACTGACAGCTCCAGAATGATGATTGAGTGAATGATTTTTGTGTTTTATTTGATGAATTTTCCCAAGATATTCTGCCTGCTCCCAGGTACCCTACCCACCCACACATGAAAATAAAGGTGTCAACTCATCGTTGAGCTTTCTTGACAGCAGAAACTAATTTTGGTCAAAATATGAGAGCCAG